GGTGGAGGATCCGCAGCTCCTTCTTCCGGTTTGGCTGGGGATGGGGCCTCGGGGGGCAGGGGTGGGGTCACGGAGGGGGCAGGGGCCCCCTGCTTTTGGGATGACTCCACTGCCACTGGCATGAGGGCCTCTCTGGGGAAGAGTCTGGGCCTGCGCCTGATGCCAGTCAAAGCGACTTCTCCATAAGGAGACGTTTCAATCTAATATCCCAGTACTTTCTGGCCCTGGGTGTCAGGCCGAGGCAGTGGGAACACTTTTGTAGGATGTATCCCTCTCCCAGAGAGCCGATACACTGCATGTGGTCATCTCTTACCAGGAAGGTGGCTCCGCAAGAAATGAACCTCTTAAACCCAGGGGATCCGGGCATAAGGGTGGAGGGAAAAGCTTCCCAATTGGGAAGGGTAGGAAGTGGGGGGAAACAAACTCAAGCTATGAAAGAAGTGTAAAGGTAAAGACAAAATATAAAAAATATTAATTATTATTTTTAAAGGAGAAGAAGAAGAAAATACTAATTACTGTGCTGCGGATTCCATTCCATTCCAAAAGGTGGTAGAGAAGACACTGGGGGCGGTCAGACTGCACAGCGCTTTATGTACGTCCTGCGCACAGCGCAAGAGGGGGAAGGTCTGACAGACACTGCTAATGAAGATTTCCAGTCCCAGGCACAGGGGGCACTGCCGCATCAACAAGTGGAGCACCCATAGGGACATCACTCGAAGAACTAGCCCAACAGTTGCTCGTGCATGACTCTGACTTAAAAGATATTAAAGTGGCTCTGAGCTCCATTTTCTTCCATGTTGTCTTTGTCCCTGCTCAGGTCCCAAGAAGAACTTCTTTGTCCAGAGTACTGTCAGTGCACATTTTTTCATGGATTCATATCCACTGGAACTGAGAACAAAATGACCCACTGAAGCTCGAAATACCATTACGAAACCAACTATCCTGTAACTATCTCAGTTAATTTTTTTAAAGTAGAAAAGGTTTGTGGTTCATCATTATGAATGCTATTGCATGAGCTTGCACACCGAGTACTCCCAAATGGGACTACTGAAAATCTCTGCTTTATGCTGCCCAGGGTTAGTACAGCACTAGGTGAATCAATCATGCTTATAAAAGTAATTATCTTCTTAACCACAGTCTCTCTTTTATTCATTCAATGTTAACATACAGTTCACCTATGTGTAAAGGTAATATTTTTTCTGTTACTGACCTTTTTAGCATTGTGACCAACCTTATAATTATAAAGTATTTTGCACTATGTATCTCAGTCTAAAAACAGAAGTCAAGTCAGAGGTGAAGGAGTCAACACCATTATCAACATCAGTGAAATTAATTCACTATAACACAGTTCTCTTACTGGAGGCCACTTATGCCCATAAAATTAATCTGTCTAAAAGCCTTTGTCTCTTTAATAGGAGAAGGAGCTGATGATGAAGCCCCTTATTTCTATGACATGTCAGTTTCAACTGTAGATACAAGATGGCTGAATTTACAGGTACTTGGTATAATGGAAAAAGTCTGAAGTCAAGATAGAACAGAAAATAGTACAGTAAAATAATATGAAGTCTTTCAACTTAAACTGTACCAACTTTGATAGCTCTGAACAAAAGCTGATAAATTACATTATTTTAAAAAAACTAAAGGGACCAGAGGTCTTTATTCCTGACAGAGTTCCTATTATCTAAAATAGAATATTGAACTCATGCAGTTGAAAGATAAATAGCACTGTGGATACAGTCACATATAGTGCAGGGCTTCAGGCAGATACTGGGCAAGTTTCCCTACATATAGCTTCTCACTACAGAACTGTATTCCCCCAGTGTCCAGTTCTGACTCTCATTTTAATAGAAAGACTCTTGACCATGCTAAACTGTACCAAACTGCGTGGTAGTTTTGTGAAGTGGAAACATTAGTTAGGATAGGCCACTCTGACTACTTTCAAGAATCTGAATCCAGGCCTCTTGAGATATAAAGTTAATGCACTAGGGTCCCGTCTCAGGGCTCCTGAATGATTTATAAATCACTTACCAGAACTCTAAAGGCCTAAATTCAAAAGAGGCTGCCACGTCTATAAGACCGGAAAACAAAATAAGTGAGAAATATCAACCAAAAGGGCCAGCTGTATTGCAAGGATCTCTTCCCCCAAGAAATCTTTGTCCCATTGAGCCCCCTCAACATTTCACACAGAGGCAATAATTTTCATACACAGGTACCTAGTGCTACGCTCTGAAGTGACCAGATTTTTATGGTCAGTGAAGTCCATGGGAACTGTTGGTGCTCAGCACCTCTAAAGAATCAGGTTAATTTTACTTGCCTATGTAAATATGGATAAAAGTGTCTGAATTAAGGCAAACACCTTTGAAAATACTGAAAATTGGAGGATGAGACCATTACAGTGGAGACTTAAAGAGACATTCCCATATTTTCAAAACTGGCCATTTGTTTTGAGTGCTTGATTTTTAGAAGTGCTGAGTAGTCACAACTCCTACTGATTTGATTTCAATACAATCTTAATGTAATAAGAACATGATTATGGTGAAGAACAATTGTGCATATACAGTCCTATATATTTTGGATATTTACCAATATATGTCTTCAAAAAGGTGCTGTGAACTAATCATCTATCTGGTCCATGTGACAGAAGAACTTTCTTGCAATATCAGAGCAAAAACTCAGTTCAGTATTCTGATCACTTCTAAAAGGACTGGGAAATTAAATGCTTAAAACGTTTTCTAACTTGTAGCTGTTTCTTCTTTACATCCTATAAAAGAAATCATGTAGTGCAATAAAACAGAAGAAATTAAGAGTCTGACCCTGAAAACAATATGCCTGCATGTGGTCTCACGTAAGTCTACACACATGGGGAAATCACGCCCCTCTTGAAGTTAATAGCAAAACTCACATTTATTTCAGTAAGGCTAGGAGTTCACCCATAATGTGTAAGTGGATAAAGGAGGGGCTTCACATGCAAGTGGCATTAACAAGCATTTGAATTTCTTCATTCCCTGTGTCTCATGCTAAAATGTTGCTTTCCTTCGTTGTCTTTATGGTTCTCTTCCTTTTTGCTCCCCTTCCTTGTCTGGAATGCAAAACTTTGCATGCTTTTTTACTCCAGCACATATTTTAGTAGCTAATATCAATACTCTGCAAGCCCTTTGTAGCTTTCTGTTTAGCCAAGAGACTTCTTAATATGGAGCATTCACAGCAAGGTCTTTTAACAAACATCTGTACAATAAATGTGAGCTGTGAAATGAAACAGAATAATCCTCCAATATCCCACCAAGCATGCACTGCTTTTCCTCACGTAGGGCCTAACCCTGCACTGTTACACCACTGAAAATATAGAGTAACTCACTTTCCTTAAATGGTGTTATACTGGGTTTACACTAGTGTAATTGAGAATATCACTTGGATCCATGGCCCTTCTTTTCAATGCATTTGAAAGTAAGTCCTAGCAAGAAACATGGCAGTGTTCATTAAAAAGCACTGAAAACAACTCACTTTGGCTAGTACACTTAGTAATATTGAATGGCAGCATTTTAAAGAGGATATACCAGACAACAGAGCACTATATCACTGCATATGAGTTTCAGATGCATACGCTGACCCCAATAGTGCAGCAACAAAATACCTACTGATTCTAGTGGGCAGGGCCGGCTCTGGCTTTCTGGCCGCCCCAAGCAAAAAAAAAAAAAACGCGGCAGCCAGAACAGCAAAGTGCAGCCGGGGCCAGGGTGCAGAGGGACTCCCTGCCCTGCAGATGTGCCCCGGCGTAGGGGGGGTGGGGAGGGAGCGGGGGGGAGAGAGAGAAGGGGGGCGGCCAGGGCTTCAGCGGAGCGCTGCCACGCGGCCCC